TAAGCCCTTTCACAGCACTAAAAGAATACAGAGAAAAGGTAGAAAAGGTGCGCTTTTTTTTTTTTTTTTTTTTTTTTTCAGAAGAGATTACCTGGAAATTATTTTCAGGAAAATATTGGTTGTGCTTTCTCCTCTTCTCAAAAAAATGTTTCTGTTTATAGAATTACATCATAAGAAAACTTAGAAGCCACTTAATCTGCGGATCTGGTCTGGTAATTCAATAAAACCATCATTTGGTTTAATGAAGGTTGGGATTAATTTGTCTGAGACATATCTCTTGAACATTAATAATTAATTTTGGGCTGAGACTGTTTCATAAAATCATGAAATGGTTTGGGTTGGAAGAGACCTTAAAGTCTATCCCAAGAGAGAGGGAATTTCAAACACTGGTGGAAAATTTTGCTTAAAGGACTGTATTTCTCTTCCTCTAGTAATTTGTCATTTGCTTTTGGAAACTTTCAAGTCTTTGTGCTGAACAAAGCAAAGAATTGTTCAGAGTGGATTAAGAATTAAAAAAAAAACTCCATCAAGGAGGGCTGAGAAACAGGAGAAGGGAAATGTTCTTGCCAGACAAAGCACCCTCACACCATGAGCACAAAACCTCAACATTTCATGTGCTACAATCCCATCTTGGTGCACTTTAAAAATCCTAATTGTTAAGATCTCTAAATGATATTTCAGTGTCGTGTGTTCTGTGCATCACAGTGGCTTCCAAAAGGATGTGAGACAATCTTATCTGTATCAATAGTCTGTATTTTATTTATTTTGTGCTTCAAAACATAAGACTAATTTAACGCTTTGTTGGTTTGGTGATGGGATCTGATTTGGGCTGTCAAAGGAAGTGTTGTAAAAGCCTCAGGTGCCCTTCCTGAACACTCCAACAACTACTGTCTGCTCGCCCAGGTGCTCTGAAAACACCTGGGACAGGGGTCCTGGGGCCAGGGACAGCCTGTCCTTGGTTCCACAGCTAGAAAAGCAAACAGACACAGCCCAGGCTGCTCAATCCTCCCTAAATACTTTAATTCTCCTTCTTCCCACCACCCCCGAGGTGTCATGGGTGCTGCACCCTCGGATCAAGCAGGGAGTGTTCCTTGCTCTGGGATTCCTGCAGGGAGTTTTTGGAGCTCCTGTGCAGCTCTGGCAGCGCTGCCAGCACAGGGGGAGAGTCAGAGACACGGAGGAGTTGAGATTTCATCCATCATCCACCATCCACCCAGCTCAGAGGGAATAGCCTCAAAAAAAAGAAGGAAAACCTTCCCAGTGGAGTGATATTTCCCAGCTCTGCAACCCCACCTTTCCTTGCTCTTTGTTGTAAAGCATTTATCACTTTTTCTGAACAATTAAAAAAAATAACCCTGCAAAAGGCCACATCTGGCCTCAGGAATCATAATGAAGATAAGAAAAAACCCCATTGGAGCAGAACAAAAAGGCCCTGAGCAGCTCTGAGCAGAGGCTGCCACATGCCAGCCCTCATGCCCATAATAAATCTGCATTTGATCGTGAGTTCTAAGTCCTTAAGCACATTGTAGAAATGGATAAATCCTCTTTGGGAATTTACTGACTTAAAAAAAGGGAAAAGCACCATAATTCCATTTATTTTAACATCATTAGATGCTGAAAAAGAAACCCTGATCATATCACAGGATGTGTTTCTGTTATTATCTGTGAGTTTTAAGACATGATTGCTGGGACAAAAAGGAGTCTTGTGCTGTGGAATTATGCAGGAAATAAGCTGGAGTGAGGAATATAAACCATTTCCTACTTTGCACTTTTTCCCCCAAGAAAGTCTAAGCTATTTATTGTCAGGATAATGGCATCGAGCTTGGATGGGGCAGTAGTGCTGGAAAATGAGGTTTTTCTGCTCTCAGTTCCTGTGTCCGTGAAGGAAAATAAAGGAAAATCTGATGTATCCTATCACTCAGTATCAGCAGCATGGTTTGGGGACTGGCTTTCCCAAAAAAGCAATCCAAAAAACCCAACTAAATCCCAACCAAAGAACAAATCCAAACCTCTCCCCATCTCCAGGTCCTGCTGGACTGGGAATTTCTCTGCTGGCTCTCTCACCTAACCCAAAAAAATCCCAAAAACTCAACTAAACCCCAACCAACCAATGAACCAAAACTCCTCCCCATCTCCAGGTCCTGCTGGACTGGGAATTTTGCTGCTGGCTCCCACACCTGACCCAAAAAATCCCAAAAATTCAACTAAACCCCAAACAACCAACGAACCCAAACCACAACACAGCTCCAGGTCCTGCTGGACTGGGAATTTTGCTGCTGGCTCCCACACCTGACCCAGAAAATCCCCAAAATTCAACTAAATCCCAACCAGCCAATGAACCAAAACCCTTCCACAGCTCCAGGTCCTGCTCCCACACCAGCAGAGCCAGAAGTTGCCTCAGGAACAAGGAGTTTGTCTGTTTTTAATATGAGCAAAATAAAATGAAGCCACTTCTCCTTTCCCTCATTTTTCTCCAGAAGGTCCCTCTGGGAAGCTCTTTTTTCACTTTTTTTCCTTAAGCACCTCAGCTCTGAAGCTGAGATGAGGCAGCTGGGCTGGCCTGGGGGATTATCCAAAGGATAATGAGTGGATTTGTCCCTGTTCCCTCCCTGAGGTGTTGTGCTCTCCCCAGCAGCAGGGAGTCCTCTCCTGATGATTCCAGTTCTCCCTGGTCCAGTGGCTCCCTGGCTCCCTGACAAGATCTGCACCTTCAAAGCTCTCCTTGCCCTTTAGATGCCATCATCTGTATTTGCATTTCCTGGCACCCAGAACAAGCCAGGCAAATTCTTTTAAAGTCCAATTTATGCTTTGTAGAATTGCCAGATTGGGGGGAAAAAGCGCTCAGGAAATGGAGAAATCTCTGGGCTCTTAACAATCATGAAACTCCTGATAAAAAACGATGGCAAATTCAATCTCTGCTGACCCAGGTCACCTTTGAACAGACACAAAGTTCTTTATCACTTTGCCAATTTCCCCATTCTTTTAGAAGCCAGGTTTGTGTTTTGCTCTATTTTTTTTCCCTTGTTTATCTCTTAATCTTTGGGTAAATTGCAGCATCTGAATCTGGCCATTGTGGAAAGGGGTTCAAAGCTTCTTACTTAATTCATAGCCAAGGTTTCCATTTCCTCAAATCAGGCAACTCTTCATTTATTTTTTCTGTGTTATGATTTAAATTTTCAGGGTCGCTTGGGCCTGTAATGACAATATTCAATAAATACTAATTTATACCACCAATACCCCCATTCATTCCAGGATTCTGCAGTGGGGGACTGAACCTCTCTGGATGTGGTGCAAGGTTTGGAAATATCCATTGGCCACATTATCCTCCTTTGAAAATGGAGCCAGAATCCCTTAAATAAACATCTGGGGCTGGACTCAAAAATTCAGAGTTTTCCTCACCAGGCAAGACAGAGAGGAGAATACCCCAAGGTCTCCCCAAAGGACGAGTCAGGGCTGAGATGTTCTCTGCCTTCATGGGGGTCACACCTGTCCTACAGGATTTACTCACAGAGCAAAATCGAATTTAGAGCAGCTGGAGACAGGAATTATTTGGGTTTTTTACTGATTTTTCAAACTCTGTTTCTGTTAGTATATATATATATATATATATACATATATATATACATATATATATAATTGTTTATATTATAGATAATATATTATAGTTCTATTTTTTATAAAATATTCTAGTTTTCAAAAATGCATAATATTTGTCTAATACACAACACAATGATCACCTACTTTCTGGATGAACTTTTTGCAAGTACCTGTTTAAATTTTCAATAATCATTCCAATTTCCTTCCTTGGTCTACTCCTGTTATTTAATTCTATTATTTTCCATGTCAATTTATGTCACAACAGATACAAAAAAACATATTTAGGCAAGTGAATCCTTCCCTCTGCAGAGCAGTTTTGAGCCACCACATAGCACACATATGAAATATTATTTAAAAACAAATATTCATTATTTAAAAACAAATACTCATGATTTAAAAACAAGTATTCCCACCACATTGACACAGCAACCAGAGCAAATGTGAGATGAGTGTCCCTGTCCTTTTCTGTGTGTGCTGAGGGAATTTGCCTCAGCAAGAAGTTTTCTGTTGAAATTCACTTTACTCAAGAACAGAGAGAAAAAAATCAAAGGTGCTGGAGGAATGTGAATGGTACAGCTGGACTGGGTGACCTCAGTGAAAGCACTGATGGAAATGTAGATTTTCCCTAGTGCAGTCCTGCATCTCCACAGGGAGAAAAAGACAAACCTTCACAGCTTTGAGTATAAAACATGAAAATATAAAAAATATTAGGAGATGAAAAAAACAGTTACAGAGACAAGGCTGTTGGTGTGGAGAAATATTGTAAATGCAGGCGAACCCAATGGGAAGAAATGATGATGTCTGACTCAATTCGGAAGGCTGAATGATTTCTTTGTTATAACTATGCTAAAATACATTAATATACTATATAAAAGGAGGATACTAAAACTACATACTACTTTCTCTGACTCTAACACAACTCGTGACCCTCTCTGAGAGCCCAGCCCCAGGTGGGTTGGATTGGCCATCAGGCTCAAACAATCCTCACCAGAATCCAACCAAGCAATCACCCCAGGGAAACAATTCTCCAAACACATTCCACGTGGGAAAAACAAGGAACAGACATAGAAATTATTTCCTCTTTCATTTCTCTCTGTGCACCTCTATGAAAAATCCTGAGAAGGAGAGAAATGTTCTTGCCACAGAGAAAGAAGAAACAGAAAAGAGAGTACCAGGGAATAAATAAATTCACAGTGCACACTTTAACTATGGATACTGACACTTCTGTATGGGCCAAATTAGGATGAAATCAGCTGGATTTATGCTGTGACTTAATTTAAAGAGGCACAATTAAGCCAAGCTGGCTGCTGCCAGGTTGTTCTGCCCCAAGAGAAGAGCAGCCCCAGGAATGAGCAGCTGCTTTGCCCCGTGCAGAAATGGAAAGGAGACCAGAGGAGCTTTACCTTTGCTCAGGCTGCCAGCGGGGAGATCTCGGGAGGCTCCTCTGTGTCTCGCTGCCAGCAGCTCTGGAGCTGTGCACAAAAACAGGGGCTGGGTTAATAATAAAGAAAGGCATGAGCTGTGAACTCCAAAGACTCGGGTTAAACATTGACTCAGGTCCTTGGGAGCGAGCTCCGAGGGGCTGCCGGGGGCATCTTGAGGAAGGGAATGTGCCTTGGGAAGGCTGAGCTGGAACAGGGGCTGGACAGAGCTCCAGAATAAAGCAGGGATTTATTCAAAGCATCTCCTCCATGGATCCACCTTGGGCAGCACCAAAGCCCAGCCAGGGCTGCACCCAAATGAACCAAAATGGCCCCAAAATGCACGAGCGCTCCCGGGGGCTCTCCCTGGGATCAGTTCTGCTCCATTGGCACCTTGGAGTTCATTATCCAATTCCAGCTTCAGCCCAGGCAGTCCCACCCTGCTTGTTTTTCTCTCTCCAGCCCACGGTGTTTGTGCTCCTGGGCTGAGGTTTGGATCATTTGTCCTTGGTGCCCAGCTGGAGCAGGAATTGTTTTGTCTCTGCTCTGTGCAGAGAGCTCAGCATCCCCTCATGTGGAGCCCAGACCCACACACTGAGGGAGCACAGAGTGTGAAAATAGAAAAGCCAAAACCTGAGGCATCAATGAACACCCAACCTGGTCCTCAGCAGCCTCTTCCCAGCTGGGACACACGGGGCAGGCAGCTGGGGCCACCCTGCACATCCAGGTGAGGCTTTCTAAGGCGAGAAGCAGGAAATTCTCCCAGGTAATAAAGGCCCTTCATCATTCAAATGGTTCTGCAAATATTTACCCATGAGATTGGATTTGGAGTTAGCCACTGATAGACAACTTCAGAATAAACATGTTCAGATTTACAGCAGAGTCTATTTTATTTTTTTTTTCCTATAAGAAGTGTTTTGTTTCTAGATTGGCTTGAGGTTAAGGTAAGGACTTCCAGCCCACACAAGAAATGCAGTTTCATTTTCTGTTGAAGTCACAGCCCGTGTCCTTTTCTGTGCTGGTGGAATTTGCCTCAGCAAGTTTTCTTCTAGAATTCGCTTTACTCAAGAGCAGAGAGAAAAGAATCAGAGGTGCAGGAGGAATGTAAATGGTACAGCTGGACTGGGTGAGTTTAGTAAAAGGACTGATGGAAATACCCAACTTCCCAGAGTCCTTCCTCTCCACAGGGAGAAAAAGATACCTGGAAGAAGATGAAAATGGAGCACAACCTTCATCCCTACCCAGGAGCTCTGCAGCATCAGAGTGGTTTCAGCTCCTGCTTTTCCCTTTTCACATGATGTTCAGGCTGTTTATTGAGGATTAATGCAGGCACCCGAAGATGAATTTAAACCATTTGGATTTCTGGGTATGGTTCATGCAGTCCCTGCACAGGCACCATGACTGAAGCTTGGATCAGAAATGAGAAGGGAAACCCAAATCTAAAGGACAGAACAGGAATAAGCTGGTTCAAGATGAAATGTGTCTAAATCCAAGGTGGGTTTGTATTTAGATAAGAAAAGGCAGATTTGACTCTTTTCTTGCCAGCTCAGCTCCCCAGCACTGCCCTGACCCAGGAGAGAGGAACACAGAAAAGGCAAAATTCCCTTTTCTGCCTGCTCTGGTGCCACTCTGGGTTCTGTGAGGTGGCACCAGTCCCTGCCTGGGCATTTTCACAGCCCCAGGTACTCTGGAAACCCAACCCCACTTCGGTGGTTCTGCAATACAAATTAATAACAATAACTAGACTTGACTGCTTGACAAAAAGCAAACAGTACGGAAAAAGCTGTCTTAAATCTTTCTATCCCACTTCCCCAGACCAAAAAAAATCTCCAAATGTTATTTCTTTTGGCAGCTGAAACCTAATCCTACCTTGGTTAACAAAACAGAGAGAACAGGAAGCGCTGTGAAGGAATTTTTCATTCCCTGGGACGTCTTTGATCCCACTCCCCTCCCTTTTCCTATCAGGTAATTTTCAAATCTCGACGTTTCCAGTTAGTCTACGGATCTTCTTGTTTTGTCTACTGCAGGCAAACCTTATTTAACTTCCATTTCAGGCATGAAAAACTGCCCTGCATTGAGACTTTGCTGTTGTGTAAGCTGGAACCTGAGAACTCCAGAATGCAGGAGGGAATCCGACTAAAATTCACCAATTTTTTGGTGGAAAACCAATCATGGCTTTGCTTTAGCGCAGGCAAGGGGCATTCAAACTTTACAGAAACTCTAAAGAAACCCTTCGAGCATTTGTTTCTGCAGCCACCACTTTTTGTCACTCAGTTCGACCTCCTGACATACAGAGGGAGATTTTTTTCACCATTCTCCATCTCAATCTGTGCCCATCTAAAATTTGCAGAGCCCCAACCAAATTAATGTCTGATTAATATTTGGAGTTCTGGAGGAATGTCTCGACCATTATTCCAGTCCCACATGGAATGCAAGGCTGCATCTCTGCCTTGGGCAACAAAACAATTAAATAAAATATAATGAAATAAAATTTATTTTAAATTTTATTTTAAATAAAATACAATTAATAAAATAATTAAAATATCGATGATCCTGAAGGGGCTTTATTACCACAGAGCAGCCTCCTGCTCATGGCCAAGACAAGTCTGGAGCACTCCAAAGCAGGAGGGGACACAAAAATCATCAAAATGTCACCAAGATAATCTCCGAACAGATAACACAACAGCCCCTCTGCCTAAAAAAACTACACGTCTAAAGTAATGCAATATTTCTGTGGATGTGAGAATATTTCTAGCTTTATTTATACTTTTTATACCCTTCATCTACACTTTTGCTGTTATAGTTTCACTTGTCCCACAGATCTCCGTGAAATAGAATTTCATCCTCAACTCCTCATTTTTTTTCATGCTAAGGAGTTTCTTTGCCATCACCTTCGAATTATTTTCCCCCATTCCCACCAGTTCCCTCCCTGGGTTTTTAAGGCTGTGAGAGAAAAGGAGATCAGAAAAAAAGATGTGGCAGCTTTTGTTGCTTTAAGGGAAGGAATAAGCTTGGAAAACTTTTGTATCCCAGCATCTCTAGGACCATCAGATCCCTCTGGTGCACAGCAGCGCTGTCCTGCAGGTCCCAGTGCTCCTGGGATCTTGCAAACATCCTTCTGGGATTCTGGGGTTTCAGACAGCATAGCTGACAGGAAAAAGAATTTTAGAAAGTCATTGGGACAAACTAACAAACAAAAACCATTGGCATGGCTCTACAGATATTAAGAGTTAAAGATTTTTTATTTCCAGTTTAATCGTTGTGCTTTCTTATGGAAACAGTCTATTTTGGGGTGAGAGTTGTTCATTAAATAAATTTAAAAAGAACAATTAATGTAGTGAAACTGGAATGCCAAACTGTGCTGCATTGTCAGACCTTTCTATGCAGCTCTTCCAGTAGCCCTAATAATAAAGTAATAATAATAAATAATAATAATAATTTTAAAAATAATTAAAAAATAAAAGAGCTGTAGGCTGTGTTTTCCTGCCTGTGCGCCTTCCTGTCTTCCAAGGTGCCAGGGTAGGAATTGTTACTTTAAAAAGCAGCACAATAAATTTTATTAGGCAGAGCAGGCTGGTTGTGTCCTGGGCTGGCCCAGGGGCAGCGCTGGGTGGAGGAAGCCCCGGGCCAAGCACAATAAGGAGGGAAGCTCTGGAATGTCACACTGGCATTAGTCTCCAGTGGATTCCTCACCTTGCAAAGAAGATTCCACTCCGCAGGAAACTCTTTCTTCTCCTTCACTGACAGCTGCAAAATAAGGGAATTGTTCATGAATCACCTGTGGGACCCAGAACCAGCTCTGAGCCCCCAGGGGAGCTCCCCTCGCTCTACTCTGGGCTCTGGGCTGCAGGTTCTGATGCTTTGCTTAAAATTTCAGACATCCTGAGACCTCTCACCCCTCTCAGTTCCCTCTGCAGCCTAAGAAATACTTTAAAAAGTTTTCCCTGCCAAATACTAAATACTCTCACCCCTTCAAAAACAGTTATTGAGATGTTTCCTTTCCCTTTCACCTGACTGATTTTAATTTTTCTAATTCTTTGGCATATCTACTGGGTGGAAAATGTTATAAATTAGTAAATTCCTTTCCTGTACAGAGCTGAAAAAGAAGCTCCAGGTTTCACACCACTGTGGTCAATCAACCGTGGTGCTCACCCACATATAAAAATGCAAATTATATTTACCTGCTGTGAAGAGGCAACACTGAGTAGCCAAATTCCTTTTTATAAGTATTCACAAATGCTGTTTGCATAACACATCACCACAATTGGATTTTTTTAGTTGGGCCTGTAATGAGATCTTGTAAAATAGCTGTTATCTGAAGGGTTTGTTTTTATTAAACAAGTAAAAAGCACAAACCAGCAACTTTCCTGTGGCCAGGCTGCCAGCTCTTCACAAGATTTTTTTTTTTTTTCCTTCCAACAGCCTCCTTTTGGTGCCTTCCTCCATAGGGAATTCCTGGCTCTGTGCAAGGACTTCAGACACCTTTCCCAGGAGAAAACTCCAGTAGGTGAAACCACATAAATCCGTATTTCTCAGGGATATCTGACACAGCTGATCCCCAGGCTAGGCTTATGATACCCACGTGTTCCACAACAAGGGTACATTGGGACTTTTTCAGACCTTTAAGAGGAGGATACAAAACCCCAAACCGGTGTCACTGAATGAATGTGCAAGAATTTCATTAAGAAAATGGTTTTTAAATTTAACATCACTTTAATAATTACACTTCTAATAGAAGTAATTAAAAGCTGCACAACATATTGTCTGAAGAGCATATTTGTAACATTTAACTTCTAGTAGCTGCTGCTTTAGTGGAGGTCATGGCTGACAAACTGGCAAAGCCCTGATTTTATTTTTTCTTGGGAACTCAACGCTTGTCTCAACAATCCCAACCCAACAGCTCTCCTTATCAAAACAAAACACACCTACAGGGCTGTAAAAACTGACAGGGGGGTGGGGAAAACGGTTTTCAAATATATGCGACCTGATCTTTCCCACAGCAGCTCCTGTACATCCCATTCTGTCCACATTTCCCAGAGCTTTGAGGGCTCCTGTCCAGGGATGTTCT